TTGACTTTCTGACCACTTATCAAAACTGCATTTAGTCCTGGTACGGTTAAGTAAGAAATTCTTCCCCCATTTGTCAGTTCGAGCCTTCATGTATGTAACTGTCTGGAGTAGGTGCCAAAAAGCGAATTATACTTTCAGAGCTTTAGTTTTCTGTGTCCTTTCTTTGTTTTCCACCTGTCCTGTAGCTGGACTGACCTCCTTCAGAGATGTCTTTGTTTTTTGACTTTTTGTTTTTCTGAAGAGGCATGAAGGTTTTAGAGCACAGTCGTCTGTTTTGACGATAACTAGGCCAACCTTCAGAAAATACTGCACCAAGTCAATGAATGCTATTTAGTAAAGGACTGACTAATCATAAAATGCTTGTAACTTTTCAAGGCTTAGCCTGATTTTCTTTTCTTTAATACGACTTTCCTCCATCCTTCCACAGTTTCCTTACTGGTAGCTTCTTCCTTTGTAAGATCGTCTTTGAAAAATACAAGTCTAGGTACCTTATTATTTGCCTAGTCTTGTTTCGGCTGGGTAGCCTAGTTTAGAGAAAAACCCTGAAAAGAAACATAAGCTTGTCCTCAAGTTTGGTGTCTATGTTGGGGGGGGGGGGAACCAAAACCCCAAAGCAAAAAAATACACAAAACCTGCAGGAAATTTCCTTACTCATTTTTAAATTCTGAGTAATGCAGTTACAGAAATAGAGCTGTCATATTTGCTGTATGATTAGCAATAGCAAAAGGGCAGCTTGCCTGAAGATTTAGTATTAAACAGTCTGTTCTGAGCTTCTTTGGAGCTTCCACTATTGCAAGGTGTTTAGGTTAAGTGGGGTTTTTTAACTTATTTTTAAAAAAACAGAGGATAAGTGGAAAAGAAGATTTTTTTTTTTAATTATTTTTTTTCTCTCTCTCCAAGAAACATTGAGGTATTTCTGGCCATGTTGTCCAATGGTTTACAGTTTTTCTTTTCACTGCTTTTCTTTCACAGCCCAGGTCTTGAAGTTATTTTCATTTATAATATCCTTTACCTAGTCAAATCCTTTTTCTTTATGTAGGCAGCTATGAGGAATGAAGAAAAGTACCTTTCAAGAGACATCTCTGATAACTGAAGTAGTTACTTCAATTGTAGTTGAAAATTTACTTAAATATAGTGATGACCTCTTTTAGTTTCCTGCTTGTTGATTTTTTTTTTTTAACCGTGCAGTCGATGTCAGGTATAGTCTACTTAACAGACAAATGAATCTTGCGTTGCTGCTCCTCCTTTTCACACTCTAGTCAGTTTACGTAGAGCAGTTCATAACTGAGGGCTGACATAGGGATTGCATATAAGAGATTGAACTCTTTAGTCTTATGAGTAGTTGGGGCAGTGAACCATTTCTATTTTCACTCCTATAATGGAGTCTGTTTACAGTAGTGGCTTTTATATTCTTAGCTCCTGGACTAAGCTGAGGTAGGTGCTTCCTTTTCAGACGTGGGCAGCATTTGAGGTAGACTATACACTGCAGATTTAGTAATAGATGTGTTCCCAGTTGCTTTTAACTGTTGCTTAACAGGGTAGTGCCACTCCAAGTCCAGATTAGCTTTTCTAAAGAATGGTCTAGTAGATGTCCTAGCTTTTTAATTTGTTCCAGTATATATAAAACTATTCCAGTCTGATGAAACTCTGTGGCAGCTGTTAAAGGCATTTTCTCTCCATCTTTGTGCATGTGGCCAATTGAGTTAGCCATTTTTTCTTGCGTTACTTGCATTTTCATAGAGTCATAGAATGGTTTGGGTTGGAAGGGACCTCAAAGACCATCTGGTTCCAACCCCCTGCCATGGGCAGGGACACCTCCCACCAGACCAGGTTGCTCAAAGCCCCATCCAGCCTGGCCTTGAACACTGCCAGGGAGGGAGCAGCCACAGCTGCTCTGGGCAACCTGTGCCAGTGCCTCACCACCCTCAGGGCGAAGAACTTCTTCCTTGTATCTAGTCTAAACCTGCCCTCTCACAGCTTCCATCCATCACCCCTCGTCCTGTCACTGCAGGCCCTTGTGAAAAGTCCCTCCCCAGCCTTCTTGTAGGCCCCCTTCAGGTACTTCATTTTGTTAGGATGAACTAGTATAGCATGGCTAACTCTTGCTGCCTTTTGTGTTCCCACTGGCAGATATTTTTGTCGTCCTGGAGAAGGCTAGAAAGATCAGCTAAAGTAGGCAGTCCTTTTTGTCTTTCTAGCCTGTTTTTGAGAAAGTGAAACTTAAGAGCTTCAGCCAATTTTGTCAACTTCTTTTCTCTTTCCCATTAATTTTGGAATGCAAGCTGGTTTAACAAATTTGAAAGGATTTGAAAATCCCAGAATAATCAAGCTTCGATTAAATTAGTGGAACTTGACAATGGCATATAGAAAAGATACTCAAATTAGTGTTTCCACTGAGAGGGAGCAGAGAACTTCAGTTTTGTTCTCTTTCATAGCAGTTGGTCAGGCAGTTTCTAGTTGTCTGGATCCTGTAATCTGATTTGATTTGACTTCCCCCCCTTTTTTTTTTTCATTACTCACTTGTGAACGCAGGAAGTTCTCTTGAAGTTGTGAATTCAGATTCACATTTTTAAGAGAGACATTTCTAAACTCAGAAACAAGAATGTCCCATCCAATGTGCTTGAGTCCCTTGAATACCTATGCAGTACTTCCAACATACTCCTGTAGAACAAGTAGATCTTTATCTACCTGTTAAGAGTAAGCTGTTCAGGAAGAGGTGGGAAGGGGAGAGATCTAAAAGTATCAAAGGTCATTACATTTTAAAATCTGGCAAACATTAAGTTAAAGTTCATTTCTTTTGATTCTGGGAGACTTAACTTTTCCAGATTTTAGTCATGTAGCCTTACTTGCATCTTAGTTTGTACATCCCCAAATGTCTCTGGCGACAGTGTTCCTTCGGGAAATGGTGACTTAACTGTAGTCCATCTTACTGTCCATTTTTCAAAGTAGAGTTATTGTTCAGTAACATTTGCTAAGTAATAGAACTACTCCTTGAAGTTTTATTAAATTAGGTGGTCAGTCAACACCATATTGCTTTGGCCATTGTTATCTTTGCGTGACTTTAATTTGCTCTTGTTTAGATTTTCTTTACTGTCCTTTTGGGGCTCGCAAATTTAAAACATATTTCAAAGAACTGAGCTGCTATTCTTTCTGACCAAAACAGCTATGTTGAAATTTCTGTTCCTTAAGTTGTAGCTGCATTGTGTTACATCTGTATGCTACAGAAGTAAATTAGCGCTCCTAGAAGAGCATTGAATATTGGTTAGCAGGGACTTCAACAGGAACTAGAGTTCAGCTTGGGAGAGGATTGACTGCATTTTGCAGAATTTCTGAAATCGTAATCTGCTCTTAAAATGCGGTGGGGGGCAGGGGGGGAAAGAACCTTCTGGAGATTCAGCTACGTTTGTACTCTGAAACTTTCTTCTGATGCCTGACTTCAAATATCCTTTGTTTATGTTAATCCCATTCCTGTACTGCCTGCACTGGACGCACAGAATGGATTATCCTCTTTGCAGCTATCTTTTAGGTATTCAAAACTAATACCTCTACTTGAGGTTTCATTTCTTTTGACTATCTAGGTTTTTCGGTCTTCTAAGGTCTTGCTTTCTAGACCACTCTTGGCTGCTGTTCTCTGGATTTTCAGTAGTAGCCCAAGTAAATGTTGGCTTAGAATATTGTAGTGTGCAATGAAATTTCCCTGATCTAGCCTGATGATTTTTCTGATTCTGTTGTATTTTGACTTGTTCTTCCAAATTTTATGTAATCCAGCTGTATCCATTTATGGAATTAGTCTTTCCATAATAGTCACTTTCTACAGATGTTTTTAGTCTCGTTTTTATAGCAAGTAACTTTTGCTATAGGAAGCAAAGCCAGGCTTTCTTCTTTGTTTTCTTTGCATGAGCTGGAGTGAGTTGTTTTCTGCTTCGTGTGAATTTCAACAGAATCAGGTCTATTAATCTTCTGAATTCATATTTTGTTGGCTGATCTGTTTCTGGATATTTAAGTAGTGGACTTGTCTAAACTACTGAAGCCAAGGAACAAAAATTCAGTTTTCTGACTAGTTAGATCTGTCTGGAAAGGTGGAAAAACCCGGGGAAAGATTTATTGGCATCCTTCACTTCACAATCTAATTTTGTCATTTCTAGGCCTCTTGTCTCCACTTCTATGCACTTACTTTTGAAGTTACACTATATTTCTAAGCACAGGCATACTGTATGTTTGTGTAAATGCATATGATACAGCACTCCTTCAAATTAAACCTCTACATCTCTACACGTCCTACCTAATTTTATTTATAATCTCATTGATGCATTAGAATATTCAAAATCCAGTGCCATTCTTGTGCATGGAAAAGTCTTGGTTCAAATAACAAAACAAGTCCCAGCACTTATGATGTCACACACTTTGAAATGAGAAACAAACCAGAAAAAAAAAAAAAAAAGTATAAGCAAAGCATAACTAAGTATAGCATCTTTATCTATATCTTTTTCTATATATGTATATATTTTATTGTTAGGAAGAATAGTGATGTTGTTATTTAGAAACCAGAATGCCATGGACAATTGCCAACTTGTGTTAAGTTTGTTTTGAGTGTTTGATCTTCTGCTCAATTTAAAGCAATAGATTGCAGAATAAACTGCAGAAGATGGTAAAATTCAAAGTTTAAATTAGTCTGAAGTTTATGTAAAGATTAGATACTTCAGACTATTTTAGAATAAAGCATTTTGAGAAGTTTAAATAGGAAGATGTTTTTTTTTAAGGCACATAGTGTATTGATTTTATTTAAAAGTGTATTGTCTCCCAAATTTTGCTTAGAAGCCAGATATATGTGCGAAAAGTTAAGTTAGTTATACAACTAAGATTGATAACTAATTTCTTAATGGAAATTTGCTAAGTTTATGTTTTCTCTCATCACCAACAGATAGCTAGTCAGTAAGGGCAGCAGCAGCAGCAAGCTAGCTTGATGAATGAGTGTAATTCAGTTTCTTTGTATTGTACAGCTTGAGAAATGCCAGTGGCCTGACAGCAGCAGACCTTGCACATACCCAGGGCTTCCAAGAATGTGCCCAGTTTCTCTTGAACCTACAGAATTGTCATCTGAATCGTTTCTATAGCAATGGCACCTTAAATGGGGTTCATCAGAGTGCAGGTCCCAATCCATTCAGTGGTGGGACAAGTCGAAAGAGATCCTTTGAAGATATGGAGTCTGCTGGAGTAAAGAAGGCTAGAACAGAAGGTGAGACCCCAGAGGTAAAAGGGGTGGGGTGATACTGTTGCTGAGAAAGGAAAATAAACATTTTAAAGCCTTTCAGAGTGGATGTTGAGTATTATTGACGTACATATCTAAATTACATCTTAATACAAGTAGCAGATGAATACTGTTACTCCATGCCACAAGATCCCAACTCTCCCTGTCGTCATCTTGGTGTGCTCAGAAATTTCTATTTCCAGGGGGTGCTAAAGTTACACGATACCAAGAATAATATATGGAGGAGTAGGAGCTGAAATTAGCTTCTACTCCTTCCTCAATTTCTTCCCCTTCAGGAGAGTCAAATACTGTTGCGTTAATTCACAAGGATCCCTGGATGTTCTGACGGTAATTTTCCACTTCAGGATTAATTCACAATTCAAAAACTGTTTGCTAGATAAGATGGATGAAACAAATTGAACGCAAAAAGGTTTCTGAAATTGAGAGGGAATTATGTCGGTGACATTAAGTTTTCCAGGATCATATTCCAAGGGGAACTGATACCTTACAGGAGGATGTAAGACTAGAATGAACCGTAAGGATTCCTAGTCAGCCTTGTGCGTTGAGGATACTGCTTGTTCCTCTGCCAGCAACGATGCAGTAGTACACCCTCAAAGATATTTTTTGGTGGCTATGTGAAGAAATCTTTTTTTACATCTTATGAGAATATTCTCTGCTTCGTTTCTGTTGGTCACTCCATTAAATTCACATTAAAACGAACGCAGCATTCTGCTCTCAAACCTCGGGGGTTTTTTTCTTGTGTCTAGCATGAGGAAAGGGACTCTGTAGGTCTTTGTTGAAGATGCTTCTGTGAGCGAAAGAAAATGGGCTCAAACAGTGCTTAATTCCAGATAACAAGGGGGGAATTAAGACCAAAACAAGCTTTCTAAATATGACATGGAGAACATAAATTACCTCCATGTTGGCACTCTTTAGTACTTGCTTTAGTACTTGCTATGTAGCCACCATTTCAACCATACCAGGATCAGAGGCCTTAGCAGGGGACTCCGTAGCCAGTCATAAATGGGACATGTTACTTCATGTAGTTGGTCTGAGCTATAAATAATGTCACGATGGAGATGAGTGCCTGTGCAACTAAATGCAAGACTGCTTTTCAGCAGTAATCTCCTTAAGTAGCTACATAGAGTGAGAAAACTTACAGAGTGTGTAGTTGCCCATAACAGTTACAGAAGTCTTTGGCGTGTTCCTGTTCTGTTGCCCAGAGGCGCTGCTCGAAGTCAAAGATGCATATCTTTTCTTCTGAAGAGCTGTTCCTCCTGAATGTTCATTAACCAGCAGTCACCTTTAGTTTCAGTAAATGGCTCAAATCTAATCAATAGGTAGTGTTTCCCCACGATCTGTGGGAGTGATGCTGGACTAGCTATTTTTATCTATGTGTTGTCATGAAATAACGATATCTGCACTGCCTTTCAGCATAAACAGTTGGTCCGGTGGTTAAGTTAGATCGAGTAAACACATAGACAATATGTTTAAGTGAGCAAGATCTCCTTCAGCAGTTACAGAGGTGTTAGGGAAGTGATCAGAGTAGGTAATTTTGACGGTTTTACCAGTATGACTTCTTAAGACCTTTGCAAACAAAGCCAAAAGCTTTGCTGTATTTGCTGGAAGGTTTTTGGAGTAATTAAGAGATGCATCCAGGCTGCGGAAGCTGAAGTTTCTAATCTGACATGCCTGCCCTCAAAGACATCAGCATCAGTAATATCTATCATATCAACGTAAAAAGTCTATTGGAGTGAGAATGAATCACTGTTCTTGAGGCGCTCTGTAAACAACGGAGCTGAGTAATGGGAAGTCATCAGTACATCTTTGTGCTTAGCTCGCCTTTTTACAAAACAAGCCCAATTTTGTGGTAGTTTTGCCCTTGCCAAAGCCACGCTAGTCTGTTGTCCTCTGAAGGCCGTTTGCGCAGGAGGTTCCAGATGTTCAGAGAGAGCAGGCAAACTGTGTGTGCAGGGAAGAGTCAGGTTTTGATGGCCATACCCCAAACGGGAACAATGGCTGCTTTGGAAAAACCCGCTTGTGAGCAGGCACAGTGTGTGCTCCTTACGAGAACCTGGAAGCAGTAGAGTTGGAAGAAGATAAGTACTTGAACTGTGTTTTGCCCTTTGTCCTTGAATAGCTAAACTGGGCAGCAGGTGGGCGTTAGCTACATGTGATTTTGTTTATATGCAGAGGCATGTGTCTGCTATCGGGTGCCTAGTATTAAAAAAAACCTTCTGCCTCAAAAGTAAGCAGCACTGATACACGATATACTGTGATACAAAATAATTACTCTCTTCAAATGGAATACACAAAAATAGGTTCTAAAGGCTGAAACTGTACATCAGTGGCAGCTTTCAGAACGTGCACCAAATAGTTTTTGCTTTTGACTTAGAAACATTGATGGGATTTTATGTCCAGTTTCCTGAAATCGGTTCCAGGAGTTTCACTGTGCTTCCCAGGCTGGTTGGTGGAGGGTGGTGCATAGGGTCACATACGATGGCGATGCACAGCAGGCCAGCTGGTCACAGGGCTGTGTTCGTGGCAGTCCTAATCCTGGCCCCTCTGGTTCACGGCCCTTGGCAGGTTGGCCTTTGCACCGTGCTGTACGTGCTGCACACGGTACTGACTTGCTGTACGCGACTGGTGACTGACTGTGTCAGTGTCACGAGCCTCAGCACGGCTGCTTGTAGGTGGTGTTGGTGAGGTGGGGGTGGGGGCATTGCCAGGTGTACCCTTGAATTGGTCACCGTGAAAGTGCACTTCCTATTCCTCTAGGTAACTAGGAAAAATGCCTTTCCCTTCCTGGTTTAGGGTAATGGGAAGCCCACTGATCCGAGGGCCCTGGTCTCCTTTAAGCCCTGCGTGATCCCTTTGGCCCCGAAACACTTTAGCAATTGCTTTGAAGTTCTTTAAAAACAAGTAGTTTACAAAAATGTCTGCTGTGCCCGAGGGAATGAGAGCTGACTTGCGGTCTACTGAAGTAGCCCTTTATAACACACCAGTAAGAGCGCGCGTGGTGTATGTAGAAGGGTGTGTTAATGTCAGTGTGAGAGCAGCGCCGGGCCTGCCGGGACAGCACTGGAGCGGTGCTTTGGGTGGTAGGTGTAAGAGGTGGCGAAGTCAAGGCCATCTTGCCTATTAAAGCGTTTCCCGCAGCAGTCTAACCAGCTGCCGGCTTTGCCAGGAGGGCAGATCTGTTTGTTCAGCTCTTGAAGGGACCCCTGGAGCAGTCTGGTGTGAATGGGGGGTGAGTTACTGGGAACCAGCCCTCGGGAGCAGAAGAGGGAGCAGTCCAGGGTGACCGTAGGGGAATGTGAGGTACAGCGTGCTGCTTCTCTGCCGGGCACACTAGTTGTAAAGCCTAAATATGAGTTAACTTCAATTGCTCTTTATCCAATCTGTTAGTGTATCAGACTGATAATTGTTTGGTAAGTAGGTGCAAAGTCTGATAGGTACACTGGTAATTCTCCATTTCGAGGGGTTAAAATGGATGCGCAAGTACTTTAGCATTTACTTATTCTGCATTTGGAATCTCAGACATTCTTTCAGGTGTCAAAAATTGCCGTTCGTTTGTAAAAAGCTTGTACTTTAATAGTCAGAGTACTCATCTGTTTGTTGGCTGAGTTTTCAAGTGTGCATCAGTGACTAAACTGTGGCTTTTTTTTATCAGCTTACAGCTTTGATGGCTTAATACCAATGATGAACGGAGGAGTTGAGGACGATGCTGACAATATGCACGTTGATAGAGAGTTTGCTGTTGTATCAGGTGGGAGTGGACAGTTTCCTGTTAACTACAACAACATTCAAATGGTTGAAGACACCAAACAACAGGAGAGTACTTCTGTTGGACCAAAAGAAATTGAAATATACACTGTTTCTGCAATGCAAACTCCTTGTCGTTGCAAGAATCAATATGCATTTTATTTTTAATTGAAGTATAAAACTTAGTCCCTTATTTTTGCACATTGTTGTCTAGAGTCCTGAAAACTATTGTATTGCTGTAACACCCATTATATTGGGGGTTTAGTAGGTATTTAAAATCAGCTGTTTCACACAATATATTGTAAAGGCGAAAGAGAAGGTTTAGTAGTAGGTTATTATTATTTCAGCTAAAACAGAAATCCACAACGGCTGTTTCACTTTTAACCTGAGGCTTGTGTTACGTTGTGCCTTGCTTTTAGTTGCCATAATTTCAGGTTAAAGGAAATTCAGAAATAATTATTCATTTAATGTCCATTAAATAGATTTAATTGCTAATAAGAAGACTTGATAGGGAAACATATCCTAGTACTTACATAGCTTTGAAAATAATGTATGTTACAATGAAACTATATTCAAAATAGTTCAACAAATACTATATAAAGAATAGTCTAGACATATACGATTGGTTCAGACATAATGACATAAGTGCAGGATCCTGCCAGGGTTTTTTTTAATCTAAGTAGAAGACCGGACATCACACCTCTTAAACTAGTATTTGGAGCTAACGTACCTTGGAAAACAGGTTTTGTGTTTTGTACCTATCTTCATGAAAGAGTCAAAATGTTTCTAGTATTAGTTAATATTAATGCTCTAAGGTTTTTAAGGGCTGCTTAATCAAGATGCTCTTGGTAACCCCGGGATGTGTATAGCGTTTTGGTTAAACTGTCTTGGGTCAGCTTTTTCCATGCACTTTGTAGGTAAAGGCGTGGAGTTGCTGTGATAGTGCATTATTACATTCAGAAGTGAGTATCTTACTTTAATTTGTTCTGTGATAAATATGCTTATGCTTTGTACCACAGATCAGATTCACCAAAGGGAATGATAATTAATAGATATTTTAATATATTAGGAATAAATATATATACATATTTAAATAATCAGTACTTAAAAAGTAGAAAGTGTTCTTATTTATGGAACAATGATTGTCTTTCATAAATATATTCTACTGCTATAGGTGCTAATTTTTAAGAAATAATAACATTCTATAATTAACACTAGAACTATTCATTACCTACTTTTACATACTAACTAACAGTAGTGCCATTTTTATTAAATTTGATTTGGCAAAGCCAGCCTATAAGGATTTATTTTTAAACAGTTAAAATTTTGCACTTTTCAGTTAATAAACACTATATGAAATTCCTTCTGTGTGTTTTCATCACTGAAATATTAGCTTTGATAGCTTGATGGGTTTGGGGTCTTTTTTTCCACTTTCGGTAAGCACTTGTGGTTAGTGAATTCAGCTGGTGTGTTTATTTTAACTTAGGTAGGGACTAAACAGGAAACTCCCGTTAGTACATCCAGTGAGTTACAAATGGAACACATTTCTTGGCATTATGTGTTGCTGTATGTGAAATACCAGTATCATAATCCGTATTTCAGATAATATCCACGCGAACGACTAAGGGAGAACCAAAACTTCAGATTCTTCCTTGTCAAACAGTGGTACTCATTATGTGTCACTTCAACAGGAACGCTGTGTTTTACGGATGTGGGGAGTTACCAACAGACTTACTGGCTTGAATTGGAGATACGCAGTAAACGCAATTCTGTTGTGCACATAGGTTTATGCATTCACGTGTACATAAACACATGTGCGTGTATCCGAGGATAATAACAGAATGTAAAATCTTTAAGGGTCACCACATAGGGTCCTGTAGTTTCTACGTTTGCCTTGCTCATCTTTACCAGTAATATAGATGTAAATTTCAGATGTCCTTTACCAGTAGGCATTTTTAAGGCAGAACATATCGTGCATTTTTTTTACTAGTACTTTGAGTACCACTGCAAAAACATATGTTTGAGGCATACTGATGAAATCTGTTTATGGAAATAAAAGCTATTGTACTGATCACTAAATCCAAAGGAGAAATTGCTTTAAAACAGTTGTCAGTGGGTTTTGCATGCACATTTTTAGAATTCTGTTTCCTACTTCTAATCTTTTTTAGTCTTCTGTGCACTCTGCTCTTGCTATTGTATGGCATTTTGCATGTGGATTGTACAGATGTTATTATAAACTTACCATTAAGCCTGCCTGGTATGTTATCTAGCAAGCTGCTAGATAAATTGAAGTACTTTCTGAATAAAGGAACTTTGAAATATTCTGTCGTAGCACCCCAACATAACATTTCTTTATTTGACCTCTTTCCGTGTATACTGTACTGTGAGAGTTATCACTAAAAAGAAAAAAAAAAAAAAAAAAAAAAGAGCCACGGATATATTACAGATGGAAAATAAAAAACCCCAACCCTTCACCCTCTCACAGACCTTGTGTGTACATAGTCTTATGATCCGTTCTTGTATGCACATAGTCTTCCATCCCAAGAGGGCATTACAGTGAAGGTGGAAGGATGCCTTTGATTCCACCTTTCAAAACACAGCCCGGAATGTTGTGCCCTACGCTTATTTCATACAGTGAAATGAACAACATTCTGAGAAGTTCACATTGTCTTTGCAGAGATCAATACAGCCATATGTACACGCTGAATGTAGATAGCTAGCTGCGGTTTGCAACATAAGAATCCGTGCTACCAGCTTACCGGCCAGCTCTCGTTACTCTGAACTGCCTCTACTGCTATAAATAAAGAAAGGGTAGATTTGTTTTCAAAGCTGTGTATGGCAACATATTTTAAATAAGTGGAGTATAGTGGAGACTTTTTGATGTATTTCAATTTATTCTTAATTGTTGGTGACAGGTGTATTTCTTAATGCAGATATGAATAGCAGTAGCTCCATATTGAATGCACTGACAAATGGATGTGCCATCAATGGACATTTGGATTTCAGCGCCGCGCAGCAGCTCAGTGGGATGGATGCCAGGCGTGAGGAGTGCTTAACGTTAACACCTAACGAAGTAATTCCTGGAATAACTTCTCCCAGTAGGCATCGAATTCATACCAGTAACGGCACCGAGGAACCAGAAAAAGCCATGAGTAATTCCACCGATATGTGTGGATCTCTACATCTGAACGGGAGCCCGAGTAGCTGCGTTTCGAACCGGCCCTCGTGGGTGGAAGACCCTGGAGACACCTTGCACTATGGACACTATCATGGTTTTGGGGATACTGCCGAAAGCATCCCCGAACTTAGTAGTGTGGTGGAGCATTCCAATTCTGTCAAGGTTGAACAGAGATATGACAATACTGTCCTAGGCACGATGTATTTGTATCACGGTTCCTAGATGAATGACCTTTCTATCAGACGCATACTGAAATTGCTACCAAATGAAACTGGGGGGACAAACCCCTCACATAGCATTAAATTTGAAGATTGCAACTTCCTGCTATTTTTACACTTTGTTTATATGAGAAGTAAACCTTTAATTTGACAGCCTTATACGATTAATTGTAGTTTGTTGCATGTATGGGGCTTACTTATTTAGTGATAAAATAGGTGCTGTTATGATGGAATGTTTGTTCTTTTCATTTTTTTATTATGGAATGTTCTGGTTTTGTATTTTTTTTTATTTCTAAGCTTGTGAACACTATCTTTCCCTTTTTAGAGCTGTTTTCCCTTTTCTTAAACCTGTTTAACCGAATTTTGTGAAGAAAATGTTACGTATGTGCATCACTTAGAAGTAAAGATTTTTCTTCCCATGTCGTCTGCTGAAGCTATGGTAGCAATATCAATGCCAGCTATCACTATGCAAGGTTGAAAGGTGGCAGTCTTCTGGAGCTTCTCTGACTTTATCGTTTGTACATTTCTTTGGTATAATTAGACGTTCATCTTTCAATTTTTCAAACAACTTGTTTGAAAACGCAGAGGCAAACTCGGAAGAAGTTACCGTTTCTGTAGAGTAGAAGTGCTTTTCGTTGTTGTCGGGCTCTTTGCGTTGTAGGGTGGGGAAGTGGGCTGCCTTTGTTCGGTCGCAGTTGGGTGTGCCTCAGGTTAGCTCGGAGTTTGTGGCGGTTTTCTTTGGCTTCTCTCCTTTATATGTACGCTTGATATTTTACCATAGCTCACAGACCGGAGGCATGTTGGCGCTGTTCTGCTTTGTACGCGGTTTAAAATTGCTGTTACTTGTTATAGAATTTGCCGAGTCAAAATATTTGAGTTTGACTTGTCTTGGATATACATTTATTGTCCGGTTTTGGTTTTTTTTTTTAACATTATGCTTTGAAAATGTAATGTTGTGTACTCTTTGGGCTATGCTCATGGAAAATACATTGTATTTAAAGCTTAATACACAAATCAAAATTCATATAAGTGCACTATATGAGCACTAATAATATAAGTTGCTGCTTTGTGTTATGATAAGTGAAGAGTGGGGAAGAATATGGTAAATGGGATAAGCCTTCTGAATTGTGTTGATTTTTTCGTTCCTGTTTTGTTTAAAAAGGGACCTTTACAAATTGGATTTTAAAAAAAAATAAACATATTACATTGTACCTGGATATTTTGTTGAGACATTATTATTTTATTGGCAATTTGAGCAAGTCTTTCGTAGTTTTTAAATCGCATTTCTCCATAATCTTTCTCGGTGCAACTGTGGAATTTCTTTAATTTTGTCAGTGTATGGAAACAAATGGGAACAGCCCGTAAGTTGTCCCTGACTGAACTACAGAAACACGCGCTGGGTATTCTGTGTATGAAGGTTGTATCAGCCTTGAACTCCAAAAATGGGTTAAAATACTGGCTGCCTGATTTCCGTGAAAATTACAGTCTCCTTAGAACGCTTTTAGGCAAAATGCTACGCACTACAGAGAAGCCAGTGTTTTAAATAGACTTGACACTCTGCGTGGTTCACTGTCTGCACGCAAGATACTGTATATTCAAATTGGGAGTAGCACTGACAGGAAAACTGACCGCTCGCTCCCTGTGCAGGTAGTTGGCCAGACCAGCAAAACTCCCCGGTGCCTTCTGGGGACAAACGAGGCCGTTAACAGAAGCTGAATCTCAGCTGAGACGAGCTGTTCCTGCACGCGTGTAACCACTTGCTTGTGCTTGAGCAACTGCACCCAGGCCCTGTCCTTAGACAATTTAATTTACCGACGTAGCACCCAGAGGTTGCCATCCTACTAACAGGAGATAGTAACTTAAATTTGTCACGGCTTTTGGTTCGGGGATCTTTTGACTATTTGCCGAGCTTGCTGCGTGTGCTTTCTTGTGCTGCTTCAAATAAATCGGAGCAACTCGTAGTTATAATAAGCACTGCCGTCTTACGTACGTGGTTCCTACGGGATTTTCTTTGGGTAACAACGAAGTGCATGCGTCTGTTCCGATGGTAAAATTTTAGATACGTAATTTTAGCATGAGAAGATTTATACTGTGTTCGTAAGGCAGGGTCTTTAATATTTGTTTACATTTGGGTTTCATTCACTTGCTTTTCACATCTTTTCATCTAAAAATCCTTTGGAAGACACTGTATTTCGAATTCAAAGAGAGAACTACTACTTTACTTTAAAAGGCACTCCTACACATGTGTGTTCAGGCACATGCTAACAGAGAGACATTTCAAGGTCTGTATCTGTTTTCAGGCCCCATGGAAGCTATTTATTAAATTTGAATTAAATGTCAAAGACCAGTGAAGGCCATATGATGTAGGTGTGCTGTGTAGGTTTGCTGGGAGCTTCCTTTACAGCTAATGTTGCAAAAGAGAGGAGTCTGTGACAGATTATGCCTCAGCCAAGAGCTGAGATGTGTAATTTTCAAAGCATCAAATAATTAATTTACAAGAATTCTGAGCCTACCTTTTTACCGGTGCTTTTTGAGACAATATGTGTACGTTCTGCAAAGGCCATCTAAACTCTTGGTTTTAAATTATTGCGTGAATCTTCAATAGAACATGAAATAGGGAGTCACACAATCACAGCGTGGTTGAGGTTGGTGGATATATACTCAAGCGTATGGTACTGTTAGGAACCCATACCACCCTCACAGGGAAAAAGTTTTCTTACATTTAATTGGAATTTCCTGGTTTTCAGTTCGTCTTGTAATTTCAGAGACATGTGAGCAATGAAACTGTAAAAGTAATGAACCTAACGGATCCGGCTGCGCTCCTGGTGGGGAAGGTGCTGAGTTAGCAGGTGAACAACGAACTTCCATTGTCCAGCGTGGAATGAGTTCTACCAGGTGTAGCTGTGTCTTTCCATGTGTAACTACTGATGACACAGGGGCCTTGTTTTTAAGTATCTTGCTGTTAAAATGCAGAGGACTTCCCTGGTTTTGCTGTGTTACACCAGCTTTAAGAAGCCTGGTAGGGCTCACCAGCCCTCTTCAGGCCCACGTTACAAAGTTTTCGACTCTGCTAACAGACAGCAGAGCTGAGCCATTTTAATTATGGCTGTGCTCTGCAATTCCTGAAAAGATTGCTGGGTTTTAGACACCTCGAGTTAAATTCTCACAAGTTTTTTGTTTTGCAAGGCCAGTGGTGTTGTAGGACTGTTCGTACTTGGGCCTTTTGTCCAAGAATTGAATTCTAGAGAATTCTCAAGGCTTTTATCAACCGAACGTTATTTTAGGTGATGCTTTGTCTCCGCTATCTTGGTTCTGGGAATGGTTCTCCAAAAGTTTATTTTTCGTCTGCATAGATTTAACTCAATAGCACCACCATGGATTTCATATGGAATACACTAATGAGTTATTGTCCTCCTGGTTATCTCTTTGGTTGAGACCCAATTTTGTGTGAAATTTTGGTTGATTCTTTCTGGCTTATGTAGATGCTTTTGCCCTAATTCCCCCTATATGTAGCTTCTTTCCTATTTTGTTTTTCAAAACCAGCTCCGAAGTTGTGGCGGAAACATAAATAAGTACAGATTCAGGCAATATTTTGGTACGGGATATTTCTGACCCAGTAGTTGAAGTTTGGTGATGTTGGAAGAGGGCAAAGGGAAGTGCTACACAATGTCGTACATGGTTACAGTCTTTAATATTTTTAACAATTGATCCCCTGATTCCAGATAACTGTTAGTCTAGACTTCTAACAGCTGTGCAAGAAGGCTGTCGTTTGAGATATATATTAAAGGTGAGATGCTGCTCAGCTTCGAGACCCGTTGCAAATTCTTTCAGACCCTGTGAACTTTTCTGAACATTGGTCTTGCACCTGACTGTGATCAAATCCTGATCCTTGTTCAGACTCGCATTCCATAAGCTAGCAAAAGTCTTTCTGTAAATCTCTTTCACTAAACTTCTTTAATAAACTGTCATCCTTCTGCAGTCTGACGTTGAACCCCGGCTTAGTATTTATAGCCGAGTTATAGATCACTTAAGGAGCTTCTGCCATTCCGATTACAAATGTAATACATCCAAAAGAGCTGCCTCACAAAACATCAAAATCCTGAGCACAAAACAAACCTAGAATGAAAAAGGAATCCTTGCTGTCTGAAAAAAGGAGTCTGGCTTTATGCTAGAGCCAACCTATGGTACACAATTTTATCAGCAGCACACACTTTCTGAAGTACAGCCTTGCACCCTTCTCCACTTATTTTGTGTCCAACCAGTTTCTTCCAGTCAGTGATAAACTACACATTTCAGGGAGGGGGGGGAGAAAAAACAGGACAAGAAAAAAGCCCAAAAGCACTCTTTCACCAGCACAGGACTGCCCACCTTGCCGTTCCATGCCGGCATAGCCAGTGCAGTACGTCCTTCACATCCCTTGACCTCCTGGGCACATGGGGCATTAGCAGCAGAGGGTAAGGCAGCTGGACCACTCCTCCCTTGCTGGTGTCACCAGATGTGACACGTGCTGCAGCTTCTCAGTGGCACCTTCAAATCCTGATAGATTTTCTTCAGGATGTTTACCACCCTGCTGAAATTCTTGTTAATTGTGCTTTCTAGGGGCCTTTGTGACAAAAAACCCCACCTTCTCTGGGATTCTAATAAGAGAGTTTTCTTGCCTCTAACCCTCAAGTGTGGCTTCATGTAAAGCTACAGCTAAAATGAGTTTCTTGATGTTCCAGGGAGGAAGTCCTGGCTGCCTTGGTTTGGGGGCAGGTGAGCTGGGGCTGGAGCAGTGTTGCAGATTGCCGACAGGGATAAAAAGATGGGAAGGGGAGGGGAAGCTTCCTGTGCTGGGGAGCGCTGAGAGCTGCAGCAGAAGGGGCGATAGTGGAAGACTGAACATCCCACTTTGCTGCTGCTGCTGGCCTGAGGGATGCAGATCCACAGGGCAGGAAATCTTTTGAGACCCAGCCGAACCAAGAAAAGGAAAAAAAACAAAAAAACAAAAAAAAACCCAAAAAACAGAGTCTTTTGTAAGCAGGGTTTACTATTCCTGGCAACTGGTAACTACATTTCTGCGATGCTGCTTAATGACTCCCAGATATTTCACACCTCTCCTTCCGTTCCCAGAGTTTCCTTTCTCGAAGTGGTGACTGGCTGTTTACAGGCAAAGATCAAAAGAACTCTGGTTGAAAGCAGATGGTTTATTTTAAAAGCATATCTGGCTGTAATTTTTTTTTTTTTTTTAAATATACTACAACAGTTCATAACAATACCATACGCTCGCAGTATTCAAACTAAAAACTTTGTCACACTCAAAATTGTACTTTTTCTATAAATAGCACCCTCCCAAAAAGCATAATGAATGTTACTTGTGGTATGAGAATAAAAGTTAGGCATCCTCTCTCCCTCCAAAAAGCACAATAAGTTTTAATGAGTAATTTCTTTTTGTTTCTGTGTGACTCAGCTGCACATTCAGGACTTGATAACCGTTTCCAAATCAGTAGGAATTAGCCTCAAGTGGCTGAAGTGCAAGCAGGGGAGACACGCGTTTGACACCGAAGTCAAGTCCCCTGTCTCGATCGCTAATCTGAGCAGTGTTCCACAAGGAAAATAACCAAATACCGAGCTGAACAAAATACCAAGCTGCATAGTATTAATTATATTCTTCTTGCCAGGCTAGAATTGTAAGTTAAAGAAGAAAAATAAGTCGGTCTGAGTTTCTCTTCCTGCAAAGTCAGGATGTAATCTTACTACAGAGGAAATACCACATATTAATATAGCTCTTCTTTTGATGTTACTGAAAGGTCAAGCATTGTTTGTTGGCGCTAGCTGGCAGCTCTGTCTCACCAAAGACACGTGTGCTTTTCCGTGACGACCACAAATTTAATGGTGTCTGTTGGTTTTGCCACGTTTTATTTGGGGGAGGAGGAGTTGGGGCTTATTTGCTTATATTTTATTCTCACTGTTTCTAAAAGGTGTCGTGAGTTCGATCAAGTCCTCAATAATGTTAGGCACATAGCTTGGAATGACAGTTTATTCTATTTTATATTTGATGTACTGTATAATACGGCGTATTTTCTAAAAGTCTGGACCAAAAAGACAAACTATGAAAATCAGGTAGGCACACAATGTTAGAAGAGCCAAGCAAAAAGTATATGCACGATGCAGAGAAGCACTTACTTAAATGGTAGTTCCCAGGATCAAGTGGCTCTCCTGACAATAAGATGTCC